GAGAGAGAGAGAGATGAGAGATGGGAAGAGTAGGACGCAGCATAGCGGCGAGGACTAATTCTCGAGCTTCGGATCGTCCATTGCCTCCCTCGTGCGACTTCGTCCTGCGCGGCGCAGACCAGAGCAGAGCAGAGGTCGTATTTCCACCTCCGCACGCCCGTTCCTCATCTTCTCGCGTTCCACCAGATCTCAAATGCCGGCTCGTTCGTGTTCATCTCATAAAAACGCGGCTTCTATTCCATACCATCCATCCACTACCTAGAGAGGTTTCGCGGCCCGGCATCGGCATAGGAGCATCAGCTGTTGCCGCTCGCTCGCTCGCTCGCTCGTACGATACCGGTTGGCTTTCCCGTCAGCATGCATACATGCGTGCGCGGGGGGCCCGAATCTCGCGTGCGTGCTTACAGAGCACTCACTGCTTTTTCGAATTCCTGTACCCTTTCTTCTCGCTTTTACGCGGGCAGAATAAACAGCCTCGACTTCGACGTTGCGCGCCGCGCCCCATCCCGCGGTACCCCGAGAGGATACATTGCAATGAATGCGCATGCAGGGACTTCTGCTTCCGGGACTCGGAGCTGAGCTTAAGAGCGGGCGGGAGAAGAGGAGGATTCGGCGGCCGATGCTGCTCCTCCTCCCCCTGCTCGCGTCGGCATGGCTGAGTGGACAGATAGATAGATAGATGGAGATGCGGCTTTGGAAAAGAGAAAGGGGGACGGACAAACGGTAATGCAGGCTCTTCCTCTTCGAGAGTGGGCTTCGTAATCGTGTCTTTCGCTTTACGTGCTTAGCTGATGGCGGCTATAGGTATGTACACACATACACATACATAGGTACATACGTTACATCTGACATGCGTAGCTTAGTTGATCACGGCCTTGGCATGGCAGAAGACAGGAGCACATTCGATTCAGCCTCGCAGCTATCAGCGAGACGGGACGCGCGTAGACCACAGGGCCATCTATCTACAGTATAAGCCAGGTGAAAGAACGAAGGGGCCCAAGGGTCAAATGAGAGCCCGGAGGAGTCCCTTGCTTGCTTGCTTGCTGCTGCACACGCAAGGCTCTGCCAATGGAGAGCGCGGTGGGGGCTGAGAGAACAAGCCTGTATGTACATATAGTGTAGTGTAGTTCCGTCGGGATCGAGGGGCGGCAAATCAGAGACGTGCCTCCTAGGAGAGTGATGGTTCTTTTATTCTCTTGCGCCCGGCATGCATACTTACTTACGTCTCCCTCCCCAAGGCTCTGAAACGACGGCCTTCCCTCTCCTGCAACGGCCGACTGCCGACGGCGTGCAGGAGGGGTCCAGCGGCTAGCTCTGCCGGCCGGGTCAAAGCGAGGCCTTCTTGTCGTACGTCCGATGTACTGCAGTCTTTTTTCCATCTGCGATAATATCCGAGAGTTAATTGACAGACCGTTGGGATAGGAAAGACTTCTTCTCTCTTTCTTTCTTTCTTTCTTTCTTTCTTTCTTTCTTTCCTCGCTAGCAGAAAAGTGATGTTGGTCTTGATCGAAGATGGAGAAGTCAAGCTCAGGGGAAGAGGTACGCGACCGATACCGATGATAAGCTACCTACCTTACGTATAGTCGCACCTCCGTACAAGCGCGGCCGTTACGAATGAAGGCTGGACCACGGGCACCTAGAAACCCCCATATGCATACCGTATATGAATGAGGATAGGAGCAGGGAAAGACGGTCCCGATCGTTACGCAGTGGTCGAGCCGAGCCTTCCCGCACGTAGGTAAATACCCCACTGGGGCAATCTGCCGGCGATAAATTGACGAGTGAGAATGCTACAGTAGCTACGATGATGTAATGATAGATCCGACCAGCAAGTTTAAAAAAAAAAAACAAAAAAACTTTAAGATGAGAATGAAAATCAGTAGATACTACGTACTACGTAGGTAGATGATGAGACAAGCCGCATCCTCGCCCCACTTCACACGTATCAGTAGCGCGATCAAACCAGCAACCGTCAACCCGCCAAATACCGGTACAAAATAACTCTCTTCCTGACTCTCTCTCTCTCTC